CCCCCGCCCGCCGCCAGGTAGGTGTTTAACTGTGGCATCCTCTAAGGCTTTGATCTCCATTACAATGGAGGATTTGCAGCAAAGGAAACACACTAAGACAAACTGTTTTTATCTCTATGGAGTCCATAGCTGCTTTTCTGTGGGAAAAGATCCATAGCTGGGGAGCTGAAGCGGGGGTGGGGGTGGGGGTGCTAGGGTCTGAGTGGGCAGGAAGGATGCTAACCACAGTAGGAGAAGCCTGGCTAGAGACAATGCAGATCCGCATTTGCACTCTGGCAGCCCACTGACCAAGGGCATAAGCATTGCTGTCCTTCTAGGACTCCAGGCCACCTCTCTCCTCCCGCCTGGCCACACTGAGTAACGGGTAGTCTTATCCAGGAGTTCCACTGGCTGGGACCAAAACAATGTAATATTAATTGGTCATGACAATTGACACAAGCCACCCTGACCTGGCTGAGCTTGTACAAAATCTCCATGAAGGTAGTAGTACCTGCAGTCCCACTCAGCCTTGACAACACACCTTTTCCCATGGGGGTGCTCCTGTCCGCAGGGAGGCCTGGAGCATCACAGGCCACCCTGTCTTTGGCTGTGTTTTGGACCAAGACACTAACACACTATAAGATATAAATTATTATTTTTGCCTTCTGCACTAAAAAGTAAGGAAGGGTTGGGAGTGTAGTTCAGTGGTAGAATATGTGTTCATCTCTGAAGAGGTCCAGGGTTCAGTCTCCAGTACCATCCACACAGACACAAACCCAAGTAACATTAAAAATTAGTTAAGTGCTGGGGTATGGTATCGTACAATTGTAATCCCAACACCCTGGAAGCTGAGACAAGAGAATTAAAAGTTTAAAGCCAGATAGAGACATAGTGAGACCCTGTCTCATAAAAACCAAGTTACATCAAGCTGTAGTATATTTTAAGTGGCTATGGTTAGGTAAAATGATTGACAAGGGGTGAAGAAACACTGGAGTCCTAGGGGCCTACAAAGGTCCAAGTGGAGAACCAGGGCCTTTCACTGACTACTATCTTTTTTCAATATATTCCGCCCCCACCCCCCGAGTTGTAATGTTTGTTGACTTAAATCATATTGAGCTATTTGTGACAGGGAGAAAGCCTGTTGGACCACTTTATTCAAAACTGCTGTCCCCCAGGGTTGCAGGTAAACAAAAGGTAACTCCTTGGGAATTCCCAGGGAGGAGCTAGTCACCAAGGCTCAGCACCTCCCAAATTTTTCAAAAGCCACTGTGACAACCAAGGAACGCCTTGGCCTGCCTCCTACCACTAGGTGTCACACTAAACAATCAGAACATAGACCACTGGCCTGAAGAAAATCATACTTACTCCTTAATTTTCAGCCTTACATCTAAACCATCTTCTGATATACTTTTTATAGATAGGACTTTGAGAGTTCACACTGCTATAAATTCTTTAACAAAGTTTAACTCTATTTATACATATTAAAATATGATAGGCAGTTACACCTTTTTAAAAGGATATTCCCAGACATGAGAAAATCCATTACTTTACCTAGTAGTTGGAAGAGAAAACACTTGTTTTTTGAGGGGAAGGGCTTTTTGACGCAGGGTCTTATGTTGCTCAGGTTGATGTTGAACTTGGCTAAATACTTTTGGGCATATTCCAAATTATACTCCATTGGGTCTCATTTTCACAATGCTTTCACAATGTTAACACTTAACACTACATTTACTTTAGCAAAATTATTAATATATTTTTGTAGAAATTAGGCAAACAGGGGGCCGGGTGTGATGGCACATGCCTGTAATCTCAACACTCGGGAGGCAGAGGCAGGCAAATCTACAAATCTGAGTTCGAGGCCAGCCTCGTCTGAGTTCCAGGCCAGCTGGGGCTACAGGGAGACCCCACTTTCAAAAAAAAAGATAGAGAAATAAAATAAATTAGACAAACTACACTTGGGTGCCAAGGTAAATTTCTATGTATTCTGGTTTCTTTTTATGAAAATGGAATGGAACATCTATCTTACAAGATTAGTTTGACAACTAATAATGTGTTGCATAAAGAGTTGAAATTCTTACAAAAATTGATATTGTCACACTTCCAAGTCCATGATCACTCTTCCAAAGCAGAGTCAGGAGGGCATTTGTAGACCAGTGACAGAAAATTTCAAGCCACAAAAGAGATTAAATATATTTGGTAGTTTATGCGAATAATCCCAGCATTCTGGAGGCTAAGGCAGGAGGATTGCTACCAGCTCAAGGTCAGCTTAGGCTACATAGTGAGTTTAGGCCAGAATGAGAGCTGTGAGATCTGTCTCAAACTACTCCAGCCTGGGGGGCAGGTGGGACTGGCTTTAAATATCATCCAATCTTACTATAAAAGCAAGCATACCACAGAAAACAAGTGGTTTTTCCAACTAATATTTATTCCATTATAGAGCCTAGAATTGAAATCTCCTACTTATAATTAGTTTCTCTTTGCCTCAATAATTGTATATTTTCATATTAAGCCTGCAGAGATAATGGAGTTGATCCCCCTGGGATGTTTCCATTTTAACCTGTGATCCTTACCACCTGGAAGGTTTTAGTTCTGGAATTTTTTTTTTTCCTATCATATTTTTTCTCTCCCCTACTGATTCAGATTTCTTATATTCAAATGCTGGGGAGGGAAGGGAGCTATAAAGAGAGGGAGAGAACAGGGCTAGTCAAGGAAAAGAGAATTCAAAACTCACCAGCAATCTCCACAGAAGTAGAGGGGCTTCTTGGATCTGATTTTGACTAACTCTGATCCAAGCTGTTTTATTTTGCCTAGGCCAAGTCTAAAGGCAATTGAGCAATTTAACCCATTCATGTAGGCTACGAGGTGGAGATAGGGCATAGCAGCTCTAATTCCACAGGTGAAACCAGAGGGTCATAAACCCAAATCCCTTTCTCTGCAGAGTAGCTACTCACAATGTAACCCTTTCTGAGGGACAAGGGAGCTAGAAGAGCCAACAGGGATAGGTGGGAGCAATGTTACAGCTGCCTTGAGCCGCATCCAGGATGCCTAACAGCTATTTTCTCAACTATCTTTTTATTTTTTTCAAGATTTACTCATCGGACTGAGATGGCTCAGAGGTTAAGTGCACTGGCTGCTACTGCAGAGAACCCAGGTTGAATTCCCAGCACCTACACGGTTGCTAACAACCATCCGTAGTTCCAGGGGAATCCGATGCTCTCTTCTGACCTCCGCATGACACGTGTGCACTTACATACATGCAGGCAATACACTCATACACATAAAAGAAAAAAAAAATTATGTTAGCCTAGGCAGAGTGCTCCACGCCCCTAATCCCAGCACTCAGAAGGCAGAGGCAGGAATTCTGTGAGTCCCAGTTCATCCTTATCTACACAGCAAGTTACAGGCCAGGGCTACATAGTGGGACCCTGTTTCAAAAAAAAAAGTATTTTGATTTTATATGTATGTGAGAGTGCCTCCATATATGTATGTGCACCTTGTGTGTGTGAGTGCCTGATGAGAGCGTTAGATCCCCTGGAACCGGAGTATAAGCAGTTGTGGGTCACCAGTTGTGGGTTCTGGGAACAGAACCCGGGTCCTTTACCAGAGCACTAAATGCTGTGAACCGTTAAGCAATCTCTCTAGCTTTCTCAGTTATGTTTAAGTGTCAATCTTGGCTAAGGCACCAATCCATTTGCCCAGCCTGACACTCACAATCGACTCTGGATCCATCCTCCCGCAGCAAAAGGTAAATGTGACAGCAAGAAGCAAGAACTCCGTAATTATTGCAAGGTCAATACAACTCCAAGAGAAAAAAAAGCTCGTAGCCGGAATTTAGCACCTTCCCCCATACACAGCTAGAGTTTGCCCCTCCCCCAAGTAACAAGACTATTAATCCCTAGGAATTGAACTAAGGCTTTTCCAAGCATTTGCGTTTTTAGTGCTAAAGCAGCCAAATGTCTCGCCGGGTCTTGGCAAAACCCAGACGGCCCGGGACCTTCCTCGCAGAAATTTAGGAGAAGCGAGCCCCTGAACCCAGCCAGCATTTCCACTCTTGGGTTTTCAAAAGATCAAAAACCGGAAAGGACCGCAGGTTGGCAAATCACAAAGAGGAACCGCCCAGCAGGTCTGCGTCCTTGGGATCTCAGCAGCCGAGGACCCCAAATCAAATCGACGGTGGGAAACCCCAGGGAAGCGGGTTCTTGCGGAGGGCTGGGGTTACAGAGGCAGGCTGCAGGGAAGTACCTAGAGGGAGGGGGCCCGGTCGGGAGGACTTTCCAGCCCAGGGCTCATCAAAAAGTTCCCTGTACATGACCCCAGTGGCTCATCGCAGGGAGTTTCTCCGATGAACCCCGGCCCTGGGTTTAGGGTTCTCAGCCGAGGACCAGCCAGTTCTTTTTCTAGTCTGACTGGCTTGGAAATTCCCCGCGCCTGGCCCCGCCCCTGAGAAATCCCCTGCCAGCGTTTATAGAGCGCCGCGGCGGCGCTGCCGAGCCCACAACAGTCGCAGCCCGCCGCCAGTCGCCAGCAGCAGCGCGCAGCCCGCCGCCGAGCGCCCCCGACCGCTGCCGCTCTCAGCGCCATGTTTCAGCCAGCCGAGCACGGCCAGGAGTGGGCCATGGAGGGCCTGCGGGATGGCCTGAAAAAGGAGCGGTTGGTGGATGACCGCCACGACAGCGGCCTGGACTCCATGAAGGACGACGAGTACGAGCAGATGGTGAAGGAACTGCGTGAGATCCGCCTGGAGCCGCAGGAGGCGCCGCTGGGCGCCGAGCCCTGGAAGCAGCAGCTCACCGAGGACGGAGACTCGTAAGTGGCGGCGGGCACGGCAGGCGGGGGTCGCGCGGGATCTGCGGCCGGGTGGGCGGGTCGGGCCTGCGAGAAGCTCGCGGCTTCTGCACGGACAAAGCGCTGCAGGGTCCGGACCGGAGGCTGTGGCGCCGGGCCCCCGCTGCGCCCCCATCCCCCCTGCGGAGCCGAGCGGAGCCGAGCGGCTTCGGGCCGAGCGGAGCCTACGGCCGGGGGCGGGGCGGCAGGAACATGAAGTTCTGGCCTTGGCGGGCGGGGCCGCGAGTTTCCGCACTGCCGCCGGGCGCCGAGGCCGCGAGGGGAAGTACAGGGCGTTCCGGGCGGTGGGAGGGCGGGCCGGTCTGGCCGGCGCCCGCCCGGAGGGGGTGGGGCACGGAAAGTCCCTGGGCCCCTGCCAGGAACACTCAGCTCATAATAACCTCGCGGAAAACACCGCGGCCGCGGCCTTCAGAAACCCCGGGCTTGCGCAATCCCCCGCAGCCAGCTCCTCTCTGGGGCCCCACGCAGTGCGCTCACCACCCCTGGGGGGATTTTCCCTCTCTTCCCTCAGGTTCCTGCACTTGGCCATCATTCATGAAGAGAAGGCCCTGACCATGGAAGTGATTCGTCAGGTGAAGGGAGACCTGGCCTTCCTCAACTTCCAGAACAATCTGCAGCAGGTGCGCTTTGCCTAGCTGTGCCCTCTCTTACCCTGTGGTGGAGTCGGATGTAGCCCAGTCGCCCCCGAATCGTTTCTAAATTAATAATCACTGGGTCCTTATCTGCCCTGGCCTTTTACATTCAAGTCTGCCAAGGTCTTGCAACGTGAAGGAAATCCCATGGGTTTGGTGAGGTCTTTAGGACCCACCTGGGGAGCCTCCTGTTTGCCTGGTCTCCTCTCAGGGAGGAGCAGCATCCATGACCAGCAGGTGTCTGGGGTTCTGGGAGCTCGAGGCTATGGGTTTGTTCTGTGGCTTATCCCCGTTCTGTTTCCTCTTCCATTTGTAGACTCCACTCCACTTGGCTGTGATCACCAACCAACCAGCAATTGCTGAGGCACTTCTGGAAGCTGGCTGTGATCCTGAGCTCCGAGACTTTCGAGGAAATACCCCTCTGCACCTTGCCTGTGAGCAGGGCTGCTTGGCCAGTGTAGGAGTCCTGACACAGACCTGCACGCCCCAGCATCTTCACTCCATCCTGCAGGCCACCAACTACAATGGTAGGTCTGCCCGACCAGCCCAGGTGACAGGGAGAAGGGAGAGATGGGCCCACTTGAGTTTAGGAAAGAACTTAAACTCCCAACATGTAAAAAGTTTAGACAGATAATGTGTATTTTAAAATTCCTCCTTGATTCGAGTGTGGTGTCACATATCTTTAATCCTAGCACTTGGGAGTCAGAGGCAGGCAGATCTCTGCTCAAGGCCAGCCTGGTGGTCTACATAGCGAGTTCCAGGCCAGCTGGGGCTACAGGGAGACCCTATCTCAAAAAGACTTAAAAAAAAAAATTTCTAGCCAGGCATGGCACATCCCTTTAATCCCAGTACTTGGGAGGCAGAGACAGGTGGATGGATCTCTGAGTTAAAGGCCAGCTGGGGCTACAGGGAGACCCTGTCTCAAAAAGACCAATAAAAGAAAAGAAAAAAAATTCCTCCTTGATGCCTGTGTCAGATTCTGAGTTCTTAAATTCAGGACATGACTGCTTATCCCAGAAAGAATAGGGTCAGTGTTCTGCTGCTTCTGAGGGTTGGAACAAAGGCTCACAGTTGTTCCGTCTTACTCTTCCAGGCCACACGTGTCTGCACTTAGCTTCTATCCATGGCTACCTGGGCATCGTGGAGCTTTTGGTGTCCTTGGGTGCAGATGTCAATGCTCAGGTGAGTAATCCCCACTTACATATAGAGTGAGTTGGGCTCCTCAGCCCTGCTCCACACATTTCTGTTTCAAGCAGAAATTCCAGATGCAGCCATGAACATGTCAAATGGCTTTTGGTTTCAGGAGCCCTGTAATGGCCGGACAGCCCTCCATCTTGCAGTGGACCTGCAGAATCCTGACCTAGTGTCACTCTTGTTGAAGTGTGGGGCTGATGTCAACAGAGTTACCTATCAAGGCTACTCCCCCTACCAGCTTACCTGGGGCCGCCCAAGCACCCGGATACAGCAGCAGCTGGGTCAGCTGACTATGGAGAATCTTCAGATGCTCCCCGAGAGTGATGATGAGGAGAGCTATGACACAGAGTCTGAGTTCACGGAGGATGAGGTGAGTCTCCAACATTCCAGAGCTGGGCCATTCTGGACTGCCTCTCAGGTCACAGCACTACTCTTTATCACAGAGATCTCAGCACAGTTCATTCATTTCACAAACTTGAGCTTGCACAACCAGTATCCTGAGAATCTAATAGGTTACCTTTTGGGGGTGGGGGTTGGTGTGGTCTTCTAGAGATTGAACCCAGGCCTTCACACATGGTAGGCATGTGCTTTACCATTAAGCTATAGTATAGCCCCAACAATAGTTTAGCCTTTTCCAAGGAAAGAAAGAACCATTAAAGGAAAACAGCCCAAGGGATTTGCTGTATGGGTTAATAAGGAAGGAGTCCCAAGAATATGGGTCGTTTACAGTAGGGGCCTGTCCTCATTCCAATGTCTTGGGAAAGTTCTGGAAATTTGACATGCCTTTTTTCCTCTTATTTTTAGCTGCCCTATGATGACTGTGTGTTTGGAGGCCAGCGTCTGACTTTATAAGTGGAAGGTGTCAAAAAGAACATGGACTTGTATATTTGTACAAAACAAAAGAGTTTATTTTTCTAAAAAAAGAAAAAAAAAAGGAAGAAAAACATGAAAGGGTTTACTTACACACTGCACGCTGCCTGGCCCCAAACATTTTACTGTGGTGGTTCAACCCTCATTTTGTTTTTGTGAAATTTGGGGAAACAAAGATCATTAGAATTTGAAGAAAACCTCTTTTTAAAACTTCATCTTTATGGCAGTTTTGAAAATGGTTATTCAGAATCTGATGGAAGGACCACATTTTATTTATTGTGCTCTTGGTTGAGCCACCGTAGATAGAGTAGCTGACCCCAATGGTGTCCTCATATAAGAACCAGGTGTTTGGTGGTGTGTGCTTAAAAGTCACTACCTATCAAGGTTTGTGTTACCCTCTTGTAAATGTTATATATAGTGTATTTTGTTGGTAATTATTTTGGTACTTCCAAGATGTATATTTATTAAACAGATTTTTACAGAGTTGCCCTGCCTATTGCCTTTGGGCTGCCTGGAGACCCCAGTCTGAGAGTGGCTCAGCTCTTTGGAGGGTGGGGGGAGGTAGCAGAACTCTCCAACAGATTCTCATGTGTACACCCAGCCTCCCAGTAAAGCTTTGCAGCAACCCCTGAACCCACATGTGAGAGGGAGCTGCTGCTAGTGTAACAGGCAATGCCATCTGGCCTGTCACTGAAGGGCTTCCACTGTCACTCTTTAATCTTGATTTAAGCTATTCCAGGACCTACTGTCACTTTATAACTTTTGATTGAACAAGATGCAGCCATCTTGAACCAATTCTTATTGATTTGGTTTTATGGGCTGGGGAGAATCTCACAAGAGTGGATGTAGGCTCTGTAAGACTAAAAAATACAACAGTGTGCCAGGCAGTGCTGGAAAAAAAAAAAAAAAGTTACTGTACAATATCCTGATTTTCACAGGGGAAGCAACAAATCTAGAGAACAGCTTGCCCAAGGGCACCCTGAGGGGGGCAGCTGCTCAACTTAATACCTTCTTGTGTTCAGGCTGAGGAACATCTTCAAAAAGCATTACATCTCTAAATCTACCTGTTTTGTTACTAGGTCTTCAGGTTATCAGTTCAGTGTACTGATTTTACTGAATGTTTCTGCCGAAATAGATTCATAAGAAATCAGTAACTTGTGAAAGGTGCGTTTACATGCTCAGTAGTTAATGTTTCTGTCCCTGGAACAGATCTCTTGATAGAGGAATAAGGTTTATGACTATCAAATGCATTCTCAAATTAATGTGCTTCAGCTTATAGCTAAGAATATGCTACATTATCCCTTTCCTGATCCACATGTGATATTAAATATGATAGTCATCTGCCTCTCAGACCAAAGGGGAGCCAACACCTAGTGTGTCATATGTAAAAGGGTACTGCAGACTGGCAAAGCTGGCTATGCCCCATTCATTCCTGCAGCCTCAGTCCATCTGGATCTAAGCACTGGTGGCCCCTCTGCCTGTGGTGATCTGGTCAAGTGCCCAGGTTCTTTGTCCCAAAGCATTTGAAATAGGCATTTGGTTCTGATCACACAAATACTGATTTAGGTTCATTCATGGCAGTGAAAAAGGTAAGATGAGGGCCAGGGAGAAAAACCCTTAAAATCCTATAGAACAAAGGGTAGAAATTTGGCTCTCTGATTTTGGAATGATGTTCTTAATGCTCAGAGTGTCTCAGAGCCAGGTGTGGTAATGCACAACAGCTTTAATCCAAGCACTTGAGAGGCTGAAGCAGGGCAGTTGCCAGGGCTATACAGTAAGACCAAATCTTAAGTAGGATATATATATATGGATATATATATCCAAAAATTATATAAATACAATATATGGATATATATATCCAAAAATTATATAAATACAATTTTAAATATAAAAGTATATATATTCTTTCTCCTGTTGAATGTGTGATGTCAACTTACACAGGCTCACTCTCCTGTGCTGGAAGGTTGGAGAAACGACAAAGGGATGTGGCCTACCTTTCTGTAACCTCTTCAGAAACCAGCTCTTGAGCAGAGGTTTCATCCTCTATGATCACAGATGGAGGGTCCTCTTCTAACCCACATGGGTCTACTGTCCTACCTTCCCAGCCTTCAAGATCCCACCCCTCAGGTTGGGTTTTATTACCTGCACAAATCCTGAGGTAGCTGGGCCCAGTCGAGGCCTAAAACCTGCCCTGGTTCCGTATGCTCTCTCTCTCTATCATACCAGTTGGTTGGTTGGCTAGAGCCTGCAGTTCCCAAAAAGAATTTTAAAATAGAAATATCTTTTTAAATTTTTTTTTTTTTTAATGTGTATGAGTGTATTGCCTGCATGTGAGTGCACCTGTGTCATGCAATGCCTCGGAGGTCAGAAGAGGGCTTCGGATTCCCCTGGAACTGGAGTTAAGGATAATTCGTAGCCGCCATGTGGGTGCTGGGAATCGAACCCAGGTCCTCTGCAAGCTCTTAACTGCTAAGCCATCTCTCCAACCCCAGAAGAGAGATCTTAATCCATAGAAAGTCTGTTTCAAATTTCTAAGTAAAAAAAAAATCTTCCAAAGAAAACAAACCGAAAGCCCTCCTTTACACATTAGATTTTTCTTCTGGAAGTCAAGTCAGTCCTGTCTGGACAGGCAGAAATAAGGGAGCCTTGGGGAAGAGGGGCGTGACGGGTTCAGGAAAGAAAAAGTCACGTCAGCAGCTTCCTTGAGTGTAGCTCCTTTGTTTCATCGGCACCTCAAGCAGCACCACAAATTTCCTTTATGGGTCAGGTGGACCAGGTTCTTTCCAGAAGGAAGGGCTGTCCTGTAAGGAGGAAACACACTCCAGTCTGAGCAATCCAAGGCCTAAATGCTGACGGATGGGGAGGGAGGGGAGGGTTACATCAGAGCTGCACATGCTCTGGGAAGTGATTAAGTGCTGACAGACTGATGAAGGCACCTTCATTTGTCCCCTACCCCGTATTTTCACTAACCTGCCCAATGTAATTGTAAAGTTTAGTCTAGCAAGAAAGGTCAGGTTTCCGGAGCGTCCATCAGAAATCTGCCCAGGAAGCATTCCTTAAACTGTGATCCCTGGACAGAAGTATCCAGGTTGTTTCCACGTTTTAAGTAAGGCAACATAACAAAAACTGAAACACATTCTGTTTGTTTCCCTCCAAGAGAGATTCTCAATCTCATTCATTCATTTGTATTATAAGGAATTCGTTATTCTCCAGGCCTCTGCCCCAAAGGAGCCCCTCGCTTCAGAAAGAACCCACACAGGACAGTCAGGCCAGATGAAGCACAGAACAGAAGCAGCGCTCAAAGCTCAGGCACCCAGTGCAGACGGGGGTGGGGAGGGGATCAGTAGCTTATACCTGGGTTGGCTTTTTACCCACCAGTGGTACCCTTTTGACAGGGGCAGGAAAACAGGCTGGGGTCAGAACATAAGTGCCAGTCTGAGATTCAGTCAACCATCTACAGCAGGCTTCACTGTTCATTTTTACATCTATGGGTGACCATAGAGTCCAGAGATGCACCTAGAGGAAGCCTGCCACCTATGCATTAAGGACAAGTTAATGCTTGCAGTAGTCCAAGCTTCTCAATATGCACTTGAATTGCCCAGGCATCCTGTTGAAACGCAAATCCTCATTCAGCTGCTCAAGCTGAGGTTCTGCATTTCTAACATGTTCCCAGACAAGGTTTCTGGATCACAATTTAAAGAGCTGGGCCTTAGTGGTCTACAACTAAACCTTGCAGACCTACTAGGAGGCAGACCTGCAAGATCACTGTAAACCCAAGCACTTCTGTATCTGCTCTTAGGGAGGATCCAGCACCAGGCTGCCAGGCTGCTTGTCTAGAATCCTAGCACTTTGGAGATGGTGGCAGGAGAATCAGTTTAGGTGTTCAAGGCCAGCCTGAGCTACAAAGCAAATTCTAGGTCAACATGGGTTACATGAAACCCCATTGGAAAGGAGGGAAGAAATGAAGGGGAGAAAGAAGAGTAAGCTCAGCTTTTATTGTTTGAAACACAGTTTTACTTTGTAGCACCGGCTGGCCTGGAACTCACTCAGGCTAGCCTCAAACTCAGGGCAATCTTTCTGCCTCAGCTTCTTTTACTGCTAGGATTACAGTCATAAGCCACCTTACCCAAGGGCTTATTTAGCTAATTTTAAAGGTAAATCTTTTTCTCTTAAAGGTTTATTTATATTTTATTTATGTGTGTATGTCTAAGTGTATGCCACATGTGTATAGATGGCCTTAGAGTCCAGAAGAAAGTGTTGGATCTCCTGGAGCTGGAGTTACAGGTAGTTATGGGTGCTGGGAACCAAACTCATGTTCTCTGGAAGAACAGAAAGCACTCTTTTTTTTTTTTTTTCTCCCTGTAGTCCCAGCTGTCCTGGAGCTCACTATGTAGACCAGGCTGGCCTTGAACTCACAGAGATCCACCTGCCTCTGCCTCCCAAGCGCTGGGATTAAAGGCATGTGCCACCACGCTTTCCCCCTGTACTCCCAGCGTTCCTGGATCCCACTATGTAGACCAGGCTGGCCTTAAACTCACAGAGATCCACCTGCCTCTGCCTCCCAAGCGCTGGGATTAAAGGCATGTGCCACCACGCCCAGCTCAGAAAGCACTCTTTTTTGAGCCATCTCTCTGGCCCTGTTTTTTTGTTTTTGCTTTTGTTTTTGTTTTCATTTGTTTTTTGTTTGTTTTAGTCTTTTTGAGACAAGGTCTCCCTGTAGTCCCAGCTGGCTTTACTGTGTAGACCAGGCTGGCCTTGATCTCATAGAGATCTGTCTACCTCTGCCTCTGCCTCCAGAGTGCTGGGATTAAAGGCATGCAATTTACCATATTTTTATTTTATACAATAACAGATTGAGCTCTTAGGGGGCTACAGTAAACTGAGTAGTAATATGGAGCTCAGACAGATACAGACCCTAATCCTAATTCACCTCCCCTGAAATTTTTAGTATTAGGTTTCATGTGGTACTAGATATGGGAAGTGAGGCACATGCCTCCTTCAAGGAGCTTCTACTCGTGTGGTCTATGTTGGCTTCTGACAGAGGCTCAGTTCTACCCAAAGTAACCACATTAAGCAATTTGGTCAGACTTTTAAAAGCTTTTCAGTACTTCAATATTCATCTCTGGGCATGCTCAAAACAAATGAGCAAATTAGACTTTTGTAAGGACCAGGGAATGAAAGACCCTCTCTCCCTAAACCAAAGGGCAGTGATCAGTGAGATCTACACAATTCCTCCCCTAGCAGCTGCTAGTGGGGGGCCTGCAGAGTTCCTGTGATACCAGTTCATTCAACAGTGTCAAAACTGTGAAGAGCTGGCACATAAGAGGTGCTCAGTAAATAAGAGCTTCTGCTTTGAGGATTATTAATGTTAATGTGAGGAGCATCTGACAACTGTCGCTCCCTCCAAGCCAGCACACCTTCCTGTATTCTCAGAGCAGCCCAGGACTAGAGGAGCCAGGTCCCAAGGACACCATAGGGCGTCTAGT